TTCCAATTTCTAGGTCATTTCTTCTAAACTATCTTCCCAACTATATCAAGTAATCTGACAAATCTGGGGTATCAGATCGCGAAACACCATGTTCAACTAGAGCTTCTTGGGATTTGGCAAGCGTTTTATAAATTCACTGACATCCCACACATGAAAATATATGCAGTTATTCAATTGTCCAAGTATTAGCGTCAGATCAAAAGTGAACGCCTCTCGTTAACTGAATGAGGTTTTAAGTTAAATCATGTAGGAATTTTAGTTATAACGAGTCTCTCAATTGGCATTTATCTGATGGTAACACTTTAAATTTTCAGACTATTGTATGTTTGTTTTCTACTTGAATAAGTTAGCAGTTCAACATGCTCGAAGAGGAAATTCCAAACTAAATGCATTTTACGAAGTCATCACCCGACCGTTGCTGCTACCTTGACGTGGTGGTCGGGCTTGCCTATCGTGATGATCCAATCGAGCTATGCTGGCTGGAACAATCGTTCCTCAAGGTCCTACCATGCCAGACAGGTCGGTTGAAGAGCGGTGAGACTAAAAGCAGCAATCCCAAGGTCCGAAGGCGAAGTCGTACTGCTGACTGTACAGAGGTGTGAAAGCAGTAAGGTGTTTCCTTCAGACAACCAGCATGACAGCGATGCTGCCTTCCCACAAGGAGGAGTGGGGTTAGAAAAGGTCGACCCTAAAAATGCACACCTCGCCTTATCCCACGGATTTCCGTCTCCGGCGGTAAGGACTTTTGAAGAACGGAGCTAACACATCAAAAATCCCCCACAAAAAGGCCGTGCGTGACCGGCCTCAAGCAGATGTCCCTTGGGCTCTGCGGTCACGCTCCCAGGTCGTTAAGACCAACACTAATCCAACTTCTTTTTCAGGTCCCTCAAGAAATACCCTTCCAGGGTGTGGGCAGCCGGGAAGTGATACTAGCCCTCATACCCTTAACTGCACACAAGACCAAGTTGGTCGCTTTCAAATCCTTCCTACACCTAATAACTCTGTTATCTCCACGACTAACCCTTCCCACGTCCTTTTATCACCTCGCACCGCTAGGGCAAACGATTCGAGTACACAGAACGTTATTCCTGGTCTCCTGAAACCACGCTCTAAACTACATATAGGAACTTTTAATGTCCGAACATTGTGCCAAATAGGACAACAGGCTTCCTTAGCTAGGACTCTAGAATCTTACACCATCGATGTGTGCTGCGTCTCCGAAACGCGCATACAAGATCCGAGTAGTGTCATTCATTTGACCGCACCTAATCAAAATAAAGTTTCATCTCGATACACGCTTCGTGTATCTGGAAGCCCTGATGCTGCTTCCCGTGGCCTCGCTGGAGTAGGTATAGCATTAAGTCCTAGGGCAAAACTAGCTCTTTTAGACTGGATCCCAGTAGACAGTCGTCTATGCGCTGTCCGACTAAACGGACCAGTAAGGACCCGGAAAGATAGGGAAACTCGTCGTTGCCTCTTCGTCGTCTCTGCCTACTCTCCCACTGACTGCAGCTCAGACGATATAAAAGATGAGTTCTACAGGAAACTTTCTGACCTTCTCCGAGAAGCTAGGCGTTCTGATGTAGTAATAGTAGCAGGTGACTTTAATGCTCAAGTAGGTAAACTAAGTGAAAGGGAAGGACACCTGGGTGGATCTTATGGTGTCATGGCGAAAAGAACAGATAATGGCGACCGTCTGTTGCAGCTATGCTCAGACAACCGCCTATTTCTTGCAAATACTAACTTTAAGCATAAGGAAAAACATCTTTTGACATGGAGACCCCCGAATTCGTCCCAACGTTCGACCCAATTAGATCACATCGCTATCAGCCACCGATGGAGGGGCTCGATAGAAGACTGTCGCTCATTCTGGGGCACATGTTTAGATTCAGATCATGCTCTAGTGCGAGCACGTATCTGTCTGCGACTTACTGGTCGTAGGAAAGACACTGCAGGGAAGCCTCTAAGGGTTCTACTTTATGATAGGCAAGCTAAGAATATATTTCAGGAACAACTAGGAAAACAGTTAGGCAGCCATGTAAGTTGTGTCCACCTCGAGGCAGCGTGGAATGACATCCGAAAAGCTGTGGAAACAGCAGTGATATCTGCTAGTAAGGTAAACCATAACGTTAGGGAGAAACAATGGATCTCGGCAGCATCTACCGCACTGATAGATGCTCGTAAACTCATCCCACCTGGCTCTGAGCATAACGAAGAGCGGAGTCAACTTAAGCGAAGGCTTATAAGAAATCTACGTAATGATCGTGAACAGTGGTGGGTAGCGAAAGCAAGGGAGATGGAAAAGGCAGCGGCAATAGGTAACAGTAGGCAGCTATTCAGACTCGTTGAAGAAACCGGTATTAGGAACCCGAATATCAGTGAAACCATCTCAGATAAAGATGGGCATATTATTCATTCTCAATCCAGGAGGTTGGATCGATGGGCAGAACACTTTAGGGATCAGTTCAACTGGCCTTCAGCCACACTTCAGTTACCCACGATCCCCAGTCGTCCTGAATGGCAAATTGATGTAAATCCTCCAACCCTCTGTGAGGTTGAAAAAGCTATAGGAAATCTGAAGCGAGGGAGAGCAGCAGGCCCTGACAGGTTGACCCCTGAGATTTTTAAGGATGGTGGTCCAGTACTAGCAGTGAGATTGACTGAGGTCTTAGGTAGAATCTGGGGACTGGACGTAATTCCATCTGACTGGTCCCAATCACTGATTGTGCCAGTCTATAAGAAAGGACAAAAGTCCTCTTGTGACAATCACAGAGAAATCAGTTTGACTAATATAGTGTCTAAAATATTAGCTTCAATAATACTAGGTCGCCTAACCAAAGCTCGTGAAGAGCAGACTACAGAAAACCAAACTGGTTTTCGACCTGGACGTGGTTGCATAGACCAGATATTCACCCTACGCCAGGTTCTAGAACATAGACACAAGTTCAGACGTCCCACAATAGTAGTATTTCTTGACCTTAAGGCGGCATTTGACTCCGTTGATCGTGAGGTTCTATGGCAATGTTTGTCAGTGAAAGGAGTACCAAAGAAGTACATTAACCTCATAAAGGCTCTCTACTCGAACACAACTGGCCGAGTTAGAGCCTATGGCGAACTGTCATCAGAACTGATTACCACAAGTGGCGTTCGTCAGGGCTGTCCACTCTCCCCATTCTTGTTTAACTTTGTCATTGACATACTTTTATCACACTTTTTAGCACTTTCATCAGCTAAACCTCCAAGAGTTGAACTTTTACCAGTAGGCTCACTTGTTGACTTAGAATACGCCGACGACATAGTTTTACTCGGTGAAGACGCTGACAACATGCAGAGTCTTCTGACCACTATAAGCAACTATGCAGGCATGTTCGGAATGCGATTCTCTCCCTCGAAGTGCAAAATGTTACTTCAGGATTGGGTTGCATCGACACCTGAACTAATGATAGAGAGTGAAGTAGTTGAGCGTGTAGACCACTTCACTTATCTTGGGAGTCTCATCAGCCCTTGTGGTCTGGTATGTGACGAAATCTCAGCACGGATACAGAAGGCTCGTCTAGCTTTCGCCAACTTGCGTCATTTATGGCGTAGGCGAGATATCCGTCTAGCAACCAAAGGACGGGTTTACTGTGCAGCAGTTCGCTCCGTCCTACTCTATGGAAGTGAAACATGGCCAATAAGAGTAGAGGATATTCGTAGGCTACTAGTGTTCGATCATAGGTGTCTTCGAAGCATTGCTCGTATATCCTGGGACCACCGGGTAAGTAATGCAGTTGTTAGGAAACGAGTACTAGGTAGGGATGGCAAATCGATTTATGAAGTAGTGAAACTTCATCAGTTGAGATGGCTGGGACATGTGTTACGTATGCCCGACCACCGACTGCCCCGACGTGCAATGTTTCATGGTGTAGGAGTAGGTTGGAAGAAAGCTATGGGCGGCCAGACCAAAACGTGGCAGAAATCAATGAAGTCACTGACAAGTGAACTGGGCCATGTTGGTAGGTGTAGACTACCTGGTTGGGATTCGCGAGATGACAGCAACCGATGGTTAGAGACCTTGAATGACATGGCTCAAAATCGTTTGCAATGGCGAAGATTTTGTGTTCTTTGTGTTCTACCAAATTCTAATCTTCTGAATTCCTCGTGTCTTTATGTTTTTCTCTTTCCAAATTTATTTCACTGTACTATACTCCTTCAATAATTTCTTCAAACCCTAATCTTTTGGATTTCTGATTATACTCCACTACTTCTACCACTATGGGATTTGAATCGACAACTGCATCTCTGTGCTAATGTGGTATGGCAACTCGAACTGATGTACGTACGTACGAAGTTCTACGTTGTGACTGACTGACTGACTGACGAAGTCATCAATATTCACTTAAAAGTGAATTTCTCTGTTTTTAGCAACAGAAACCGATGTGCTTTTCGCTAGTTAGCCATACGTTTTGTACAATTTGTGAAGTAGGACAGGAGTTAGCATTCAAATTACGTCTTCTAATTAGCATAACATCTCATAGATTATTTTACTAACTCCTCGTCTATACTGTTACTCATTTATTTTATATAGTTTCGCATACTCGTCTTTAAACATGCTGTTTTTGTGTGACGACTGATGAGATTGAACTAGTAACCGAACCAAGTTGGTGGAATGGAGTTTGAATCTTTGATTACTGTTGTTGAAAGTCGAACGCCTTAGTAACTGAGCTACCATATCAACGACTTCAACCATCTTACTATTGTTGTCGCAAATTATTTAGAGCAATTGCTGTCAGTTACCAAATACAACTGATACTTTCAACTGGATACTAAACTCTGACCTTCAGGCTTTATTATCCTTTCTTAAACTTTGTAAAATTTTATCCGCATAAAATTTAGAATCAATCATAGGTGGTTAGTTTTGTCATCATATTTATTGTGTCCAACATGCCGTCTGTAACGCATAAAATTTATAACATAACATATAGAATGTTCGTCGGCTTTGACCTATTGTTTTTCTACAGTCTTATTTAGCTCCTCTGTATATTCCTCTTGGTTTAATGGATATACTACTAGAACATTCTAGTCTTCATATGTCATCCAGATCAAGTATTAATTTACCATCATCTGGAAATCAGAGTCTGACCTTAACCGATCGATCAGTACGTGGTTTTGTAGCTGGTGCAACCAATCCCTTATTACAATCAAACAAACAACTAACTGAGGTTTTTGTGTCATCCTTATCGCCTGTTAAGGATATTTGTGAAAACTACTTCCCACATCTGTCTGAACTAACCGGTGCATTTGGAAAATCGGCCTTTCGAATAGAAACAGATTCTATGTCGAATCTCTCACTGACTGAAAATTTGACGAAAACTTCTTATTCCATTAATGTCGATGGTGAGAAGAATACACAAAACTCTGGATCTAAAGTTTCGAATTTTTCACGACCATTTTCTTTGGTAAGTAAACAGTTGTCTTGTTTCGATCTGTATATAATTGAAATAAAATGTTCTTTTTTTAAATGCTTAGTTGGAGATTTACACACTCATCCATCAGAATAGTTGTCCCATGACTTACTACTTAAGTAATAGTTACATATTCTCTGTAGTATTTCAGTGACATGAAAATACCGTTTGTTTTACTTTGTCTTGTCTGCAACATAACAAGTTTTCCGATCTTGACAGTAATCTATCATTATTAGAAGAATGTTCTTAACAGTATTAGTTCCAGTTATACAGTTGATAAAAGTCAGCATTTATCTGATAAGCACTACCATATTCCACAATTATCAAGAAATTCACTTTGAAGTATCATCTTTTAATTTGACTCAGGATCCCTCAGACTTCAAAATGAACTTAGTAGCATCCTGAGCTCTTTGTCCAACGAGTTTTACTTATCGGTTATATTTTATTGTTATGTATTGTTCTTACATTAAATGTGGTATCCGCTTTAATTTTCATTTTAGCCCAAAAGATCACAACCAATCATTCAAATAAATTCAGAAAACATTACTGATATGTATCCTGTCAACTCACGTTCTATGCCTGTCTCGCTAAACCGTGCATTACAGCTAAGTCGTATTGATAGATTGTTTATTGATCATTTGGTAATGACTGTCAATACATGGTACGGTGCACAAATAGACTACTGCCAACAATTGTCTGCCAAAAAAGGCGAATTGGTAACATCCCATAGCTTTCATAGATTAGACCAATTGGATGCAGAAACTTTGGAACAGCTCACATTAATCCAAAAAACAGCCTTACTAAGATTTCCGTGTAAGTATTGTTATCAGTCGAGATTTCCCGTCTTATATTTTCCTTATATGATAATCGTGTCTGCTAATCTCAACTATCCCATTTGAATTGAAACAATTGTTCATTGATGCTCTGCACTTTAGACGAGTCCCTTACTGAGTAATATAATATGACAGATTTGAAAATATTTTAAGTTCAAAATCAGTATACACTAGCGACTGTTTAGTGGCCCTAAATCGGACCCCGATTTGATCGTATGTTGACTGCTATCAAAATATACATGTCGCCAATCCTCTCATATAATCGTCGACTGACATCGTGTTAGTGAATAGCGGAATTAAATAAGTTAAATACGAGAATGAATTTTTGAATACGTATATTTCGTACAATCATTGATCAGAAAGCGAAGCAAAACAAAATGATGCGCCATGTAGAAGGTGAGTTAGCCAACTCGATTTAACCAAGCGTGAATCAATATTTATAGTCGGACAAACATAAGTTACAGACGTGTAATGAGTAAGATACACATACGCTTACGTAAAAGCAGTCAAGGTTGATAATCGAGTAATTGATGAAGTCAAAATGTGACTCCAGAAGAATGAATAAATTGGCCTATCTGCAAGGTAGAATAAGTTATATTTATTTAACATAGTAACCGACATTGCAACTATACTACCTTTGCACTGGCAAAATTATAAGTTATAAATAGACAGTTCTACAAATAATACATCCCATGAATTTTTAGTGTTGAACTTTTAAGTTGAACTTTTAAGATTTAAGAGAATATGGAAGATATTCATTTGTGTAAAGGTTGTATACGAATGCTCTCAACTATTCGTTTTTTTAGTCTGTGTGATTATATACTTAGTCAGCGAAACCACCAGATGTCAGGTTCTTTTTTAAACTACTTTGTAAAATAAACTATACTTACATGGTTTAGGGGACCTTGAGATGAACCAAATACCCTGGTACGGCCGAGGGTGGAGAGAGTCGGCTCTCTCGAAATGCTCTCACACGGCCACGTACATGCGACCGCTGCCAGAGAACTTCTACTCACTCCTCGCGGCTGGGGTGTTGTCCACAAAATTGAGAGGACAAAAAACAAATGTTTGGCGCTTCAACCGGGTTGGTGTATACGGAAAATCCACCTAGAGGTGTTGGAAAATCCTGATGCCAAACCAATCGTGCACATGGGTTCTAGTACCCTGAGGGAACGAATTGCGTATGAACCTATCGTTGGTTACCGGCTACCATGGGACTGCATCTCCTGACGTTGCTCCATAACCTCGTGGGTCAGACTTTTAGGTCAAAGGCTCGGAGTGTGGCCCCCTGAGAACACCACCTGCTTCGGTCTGAGGACCCGAGCAGTATCACAGCCCACACACCAACCGAGTGACTTGTATGGCACGTGTATTCTGTCCCCCTTTGTAACAATATTTATGCGTTCAAATAAATAAATAAATCGTCTCCACACCTTCAGCAGCACTGGAGTTTATTATTTCTATCACTTACCATTTTCTCTTTGATTCTAGATCGTCTATTCTTGTCATCGACTCCTACACATATTCTCACGCATATAAAACTATAGTTAATAACATTAGCTTTTGGAATTATGATCCAAATCTGTTTTAAACGATAACTTATTCGGACGTTAAAATTTTTTGTCTAAATGCTGATTTAAATAAAAAAAACAGGTTCTATTAGTCGTTAACCAGATGTATGATGTTTCTGAAATCCACATACAATAATCAGGTTTTTCATTTTACTCCACTTCACGTAAGCATTATAATGAGCAATAGAGTCCATTCTTGGAGGTGTCTAAAAGCATGTAAACAACTTATTACTACCATAAAAAAGAACTATCATCTGTCAACTAAATCTCTTTAAACTGATTGTAAGAACTCGAAAGATATAGAGACTATACATATTTACCTGTTTATAGTTATTGTCTATAATCTTACTCAGCATCGCATTCAGTCATCTACAACGTAGGACAAGAAACATGTATACATTGGTCCAAGTCGCCATACCTTAGCACAAAAAGATGAACAACAAATTCATAGAAGCAATTACTTCAATGGTAGTAATATATATAAAAAAAGATTGCACATAAGAATATGATACTAGGAGAGAGAATTAGTTCGTAGAAAGAAAGATATAAAGTAATTTTAATCTCACGATTTAAAGGAAGGCAAAGAGTGTATACACATACGCCATTGAGATCGAATCTAACCCATGTCACCCAGAGTCTCCAACCATTGGTTACGATAGTCGCGCGGACCCAAACCAAGTAGTCTGCATCTACCAACATGGCTCAGACCAGAAGTTAGTGACTTCAAGCACTGATGTCATATTTTGTTTTGACTGCTCCGAACTTTCTCCCAACCATCTCTAACCTTAGTCAGCATTGCGATCCCTGATAGTCGGTAGGTGGGCATGCGTAGTACGTGGCCCAACTATCTCAGTCGATATAGATTCACAAAAATAATGACAAAATTTCTTGTCAATTTGTATGTATAGTCAGTTTAATGCAATTAGGTAGACAATATTACTATTTTTTTCATGAAAATAAATACAAGTATCGTATAATCATTATTTACAAACTATTACATGATAACAATTTTCTAGGACAACATATATTTCCATGTATTCACAGTTGTGCATAAAACTATATATCCTAATCAATACAGAAATTTAGAAAAATGTCCATTGGCTCGATTTGCCACACCACATCATCACAGTGAGATCAAATTAACAAAATGAATCGAAGTAATGTTTGGGTTTCTGATGTCGTTTAAAATAGAAGAATGTATTCCTAGAGTACATCTTTGGTACTGTCATCAATTTTGATTCTTGTCACTGAGTATCTCCAACTAGAAAAGTAAAACTTTGTCACTGAAATAAGAAGTTAGTGCGTATTCAGTTATAAATTTACCTTGATAACTGTAGGCTGTTAAAAATCCGCTGTAATTTCGTAATTGAACCAGGCTCTTTTGTACACAGAAATAAGGTTTGAATTGTTAAATTTCTGTTGCTTCATCTGTGCACAAATTCCTGATCCAAACCTTCAAACCAATAATAAATATATTTTTGTTATATCCCAATGAGTAGAGTAATTGTATTTCCGACGTTTCTTGACTTAATTTAAGCCACTTCTTCAGAGTAAATAAGTAACCGGATTAACACTAGTCTAAATAGTACAATGATTTTAAAAAACGATTGTCATAGCAGCATATGACCATGTGCTAAGGACTGAGTGGTTTATCTATTTTCTTTTTTTTTCAGATATAGCCATACAAAGTAGTTCTGGAATATTTATTTACCAGATGCACACTTTGTTCCACAATGTCAAATAAACTGATAAATGCATCCCATTTGTGGAAGTTTCTAAGATAAACTTCCGCTTTGGGTCACCCACAATGTGCATGATCAATTACTTAAAACAAATGACTGAAATAATCTGACGAACATTTAGTTATGGTAGACATTAAAGGTCACGTTTAATAGTAATTTTCTTGACAAAAATCGAACTCTTCTCATCGTTCCTGCTGGCGTGCCACTTGCCCCTCTGGTTTGTGGAAGTAGTTGAGCCACTGTAATGCACGGTGGTCTGTGAGCATACGGAAGGGTTTACGGATTAAATAATGGCGGAAGTGTAGCATTAAGGCGTCGGTATTCTATACAGAATCGTAGGGAGGAATCTTTCTTTTTCACCAGGACGATAGGTGATGCCTAGGGGGATGATGACGGGACTATAATATTTTTATCTAGCATATCCTTTATCATCATATCTAGTTGCGGTTGATAATGTACTGGCACTCTACGAGGCGGTTGCCTAAGTGGCCTGTGGTCTCCCGTGCAAATGGAGTGTTGCACCGTACTCGTTCGGTTGCCAGAAATACTCTCTTCGAACACCGAAGTAAACTGTTGGAGCACGGCAATCGTTGCATCGCGGTCTTTCTCTGTTATTATTCGGTTGCCCTGCACTTGCCGCACTAGGTCTGAGATCCCTACATACGACACAGCTTTAAATGACGTGTCAGCATGGTGCAAGCGTATTCTAGTCTCCCCAAACTTTGCTTCCAATCTGTCCATGAATATACACGCTTGATGTTCTAACATGAAATCAACTCCGAGTATCATGTCCCAAGTCAATGCTGGCCAAACTAAAAATCCGTGCCGGAACGGATGTTTTTCTATCGTTAGATCCAACCATACTTTAGAGTTCACTTTTAGTGGGTCCCCGCTTGTTGTGAGTAGTGTAGATGGGCATCGCGTTTGTTGGACTTTGTGGTTAAGTCTTCTTAAAAGCTCGTCCTTAATTAGGGATGCCGAAGCTCCGGTGTCTAATAAAATTTAGATATCGACACCCTGCACTCTAACCTTAATCGTAATGGGGCGCACGTAATTAACAGAAGAAGACAAATGGAAAAGATACGGCTTACTTGGGTTACCAGAGCGGTTATGGCCACATTTCCTCGCATTTTTGCCAAATCGTCGGCAGTATGGGCATTCGGCTTGGCGACCGTGATAACTGTTCGTTGGTCTCCATTTCTTCTCGGCTGGACTTCATTGTCGTCGACGGTTGCTCCAGCTGGAAAATTGGGTAACGTCTGTAACGTTCTGAGGGTTCTTCTTGCGGCTAGCTTTTGCGGGTTGTGTCACTGCCATCACTGCTGGTTGGTGCATGTCTGATGGGCTTTTCAGCTGCCAGGAACCGGAATGTTGTTCTTTTCAAGTCATTTATATCCGTTGGCGGATGTAGTAGAAAGTGTTCCTTTAAGGAACTGGATATTAACCCTTCGACGAACCGAGACTTTATCAGTTCGTCTCGTCCAGTGGCATCTAGACGAGTAAACGCCTGCACGGCCATCTGTTGCAAAGAATTAAAATAATCTATCGTGTTCTCGCCAGGTGCTTGATGTCGTGACAAAAATTGAATAACTGCTTGCTAGGAATCCACCGGCGTCGAAAAACAGACGTCTAGGATCTTCCAGTTTTGAGTGAGAGTGTTGCTCGCCGCAAACCCGTTGACTATAGCTCTCTTGGTTGCTTCGTCGCTTAGGTAGGACACAAGATAATCGAAATGTTCCGAAGCTGGAACTTTACGAAGATAGGCTGTGACTTTAAATAATCAATGCAGTGCTTAAATAATCAGATGTTGAAAAATATAAACGAAAAGTGGTGAAGAATGACGAACAAATACGAGAAGTAAAATGATTTATAAAATCCTTTGATAAGTTATATCCAGCCTAGGCATGGACAACCGTGTCATGAATTTCTTCCGGACTTATAAACTAAGGTTATAAGTTCGTATTCCCTGTCAACCAAGTGTGGCAAGATAGCCAAGTGTTGTCTTCGTCTAACCCTTTCCAAACCAAGCTAGATGTTCACTCATAAATTACTACGATCAGTTTAATATTATCATATAAATATTTATTTATATTACAGTTAAACGTGATGACAATCTAATTGAAAACAGTATAGTTCACTTAGTTGTATTGTTCTTATTTCAATAATATAGTTATATGAAATATCCCGACTTCATCTCAGCTGATTCATTCCTTCCATATCCCCTTTATGTTTACTATTTCATTTTTCTATTCGTATTAGTTAGTTCTTTACCTGTTCATGTAAATTTCACTATATTTCTATGTTTTGATAAGAAATTAAATGTCTGAAACTTATATTGTATCCTACTTAAATTGTTGCATACGTTAAGCATTAATATATTTACTGTTATGTAACTTTGTGTCCATGTATTATCAATTTTTTTATTGTTTTAATTATTTAGCTCAAACTATTTTAGATGCTTGGATAAGACAACAGTTTTTAATTTATTTAAAAGCATTATTATTATCTGCTCAAGGTTACAGTAAGTTGTTCTTTTGAAATTTCTTTTCACTTGAACTTTTCAGTGCTTTATAGATAGAAATTATCAGATAGATTTTTTCTTTTATACGTTAATTAGTTGTTTGCTCTTGACTTGATTCACCAGGTAATATTAACTTTTAAATAAGTGGGTTTTTTCTTACAAAGCCTATGTAATCCTAATGTTAAACTTTACATGACTATTTTTAGATCGGATATAATCTAGAATGTTCCCATTATTCTCATGAAATTGTATCGGTTTTCACCAATTTCGTAGCTCATTTTGCATCTTACTAACAGTTTACGATTGTATGAACATGGATTGTTTCTAGTTTGTTTGTTGTTTTTTTTTAATTATAAAGTTAATGAGCACAGAGTAATATAATCATTGTTAATAAGATTGCGTGTCAATATCGTTTATTTCCTTGAATGTACTACCGACAGCTGTAACAATTATGTTCCGTCGAATAGCAAAGTGTATTATATTTCTGCGATTTTCATATTATTTGGAAATATAACTGTATATAACCTATCACATTCGTAACTTCCTAATAAGTGTACATCAAATGTAATGACTACAGCATAATCTTCGTTCCTTATTACTCCGACTATCTTCAATGATAGTTACTACCATAGTATACGAATAATTTCGAGACTCGAAATTCTTCATGATAAGGGAAAACCTGGAAGCACTTGACGGCCGTTTCGTCCTATTGTGGGACTCCTGAGCAGTGCTCATCCACGACCTCGCCTCACGAGATTCGAACCCAGGACCTGCCAGTCTCGCGCCAGAGCACTTAACCGATAGACCACTGAGCCGGCATCCATGGTGTTAATGTCTAACTTGGGTTCGAATCTCGCGAGGCGAGGTCGTGGATGCGCACTGCTGAAGAGACCCACAATAGGACGAAACGGCCGTCCAGTGCTTCCAGGTTTTCCCTGATGGTCTAGCTTCAATTGACTCACGCTTTAAACTATGAAAATACCTAATCTCCACAAAAACCCTCTTCTGACTTCACGATAAGTTGGTCATCTTAGTTCTACCTATTGCCATTGATAACTGTGCACATGTTAATCTCTTTCTTTTTAGCTTTTCGAAAGCTTCAGTTGAAAAAATTAATTTTAACCAAACGGAAAATGTTTTAATTTTTTCCCATTTATCTAACTATTGTAGTAGTAACAGACATTGTTATTATCAAAAGTGTGTTGATTTAAAGTTATTCTTTATAAATAACTTAAATTTAATATAGTCATAATTTTACAAAATAATTCTTTTTTTAGATTCCAATGCATCAGACTTCCAGTCAGCCTATTTAACTTGTTTTCGTTTAACAAGAAATTTTTTAATTTGGCGTTATCAATTTACTCCAAGTCAATTGTTTATTGTTTCTAAACCAGAACTAATTCATCATAATACTTCTGATACTAAATCAATCAATGAACTAACTGATAATGTGGAGTGTTTTAAATCAACTAAAGATTCAAATGTATGTTTCCACTTGTTGTAATTTTTTTTTTCTTTTTCTACTATCGACTGAAATAGTTTTATTGTAAGTATGCCTTCTTAGTCATCTAATAGAATATATTGCAAACTTTATATTTTCAATACTTAAAATGACATTATCTTATTAACCTGATTCAATCAAAGTATGGATTACTTTACTTCAGTTATTTCTTGTGTAGATTTGCTTACATCATTTGTATGATTGCATTAATTTTCATTAGCTGATCAAATTTAGGATTGTTGAACGTATTTTATTTTACTTTTGAGTTGCTTGGTATGTACGTCACATAATTGTATGTAGAGAAAATATTTAAACTTGGAAAGAATGACTACTCCTTGTGTGTGTGTGAGATCATTAAGTATTTTTGTATAAAAACATATTGTTAATCAAATCCAGATTTTATCTGTTATTAATGCTCTTGGGCGGCTGAAATTTTTCGTAAATTGAATGAAGGTAATAATTTCAATTATTTTATTCAATACTCTTTCTAATCTTCTGAATTCTTCATTTCTCTATCCTTTTTCTCTTTCTTTTTCTTTCCAAATTTATTTCACTGGATTATACTCCTTGAATAACATCTTCAAACCTTAATCTTTCCGATTACTGTTTATACTCTAACTACTTCTACCAGTATGGGATTTGAATGGGCAACTGCATCTCTGTATTAATGTGGTATGGCAACTCGAACTGATGTACGTACGTACGAAGTTCTGCGTTGTGACTGACTGATTCAATACTCCTTAGGTTCGAACCAGATATTCACCAGTTTGTCAACCGATATTAAATGATTTTATGTCATTCTCAATAAAATAAACTAATTAGCTTTATGTAGATTATGCATTTACGAATATATCGAAAAGGTAATCTTTTTCGAAGTCAGCCTACACTTCCTAGTCGTTATCAATATTGCTATTCTAATTATGGATTATAGATGACAAACTAATTGTTAAATGATTTGGCCTTATCTAGCAATGATTATAATAGATCTATCTTCCTCCTTCCTTATATTTTTGAAAATACGTAACGTTACTAAATAATCATTTATCAGACTATTGATAATGAATATGTGTCAGATGAGACCTTCTACGTTCATCATCTAGATTTTAGCAACATAATATTACTAATGGTGTTCATTACTGTGTGTGTGAATTACTACCGAACTCCATATTTCAATAGTTTATGATGAAGTATTCATAATTTGGTCAAGTTATTTCTTTCTCTGAGTGACTTTTGATACTTCTACCTCTCTCTCATAACTAGCCATTAGCCTTGTGATTGTGTAATCATGGGAATAAATACATGCTATGGAATCCGATAAAGTGCACAATAAAACATTTTATGCAGACCAGTAGTAACATTCTGCTTTTGATTTGTAAATTGTAAGTAGACTGCGAGTGTGCCAGCACTAATACTATTTCAGAAAAAATTAACTATGCTATGTTCATTTTTACAAATGAATTCAGTTACTTTTTCAAACATCAACATCTCCCAGCAACTGAAGACTACCATAATAAATGATTTCAATTTCGTGTATTATTACTAATATCATGTACGTACAATGCAGTCTGACGAAGAATTTCCCCAACACGAATGCTATGTCGGAATCTCAATTATATTATACCACTATATTGTGGTTCATCTTTACATATTTACCACCACAATATTACCTATAATGGACAACATTATTACTTGGTGTGCGATCGATCATCTGAATTTTTATACTCTATTCGTAGTCATTCACAAAATCTGATTCATTAAAGAAAAGCCCTCGGTTAATAAATATCGAAAGATAAATTGACTGGTCAGAAGAAAGGTTTAGTCTATCATAAGCTTAAATAGAACTTGACACATATATGGATCATTTCATTTTACCACGCTGTCACTACAATGAGATAAAATTACCAATACGAATGACGAGATAGTCGAAGTATCAGGGGCAGTTGTAAAAATCAAACGTAGACAATATGACTCACAAACATGGAATAATTGTTTAGCATAAAAAGTATAAGTATTTCAAGATAATGAATAAACGCATTTGTGCCATTGCGATCGATTCTGACCCAACTTTAACAAAGTGATATAACAGTGTAAACAATTTATAGTTGGAAAATATAAACAAAACTCCTTTTTAAACGTAATTGGTTGTAGTACGCAGATTTGATTAAAATTGAGACCCAAACACTAAACTCATCGACCTTCCACTATACCAACATCATATTCGATAGAGTAAGTTGAACCCGTCATATGGAAGAATTTCTATAGTTCAAAACCGACACAAATAGTTCGGTATTTGAGTTATTGGTCTGTTGTAAATCCGAGCATGGAATCAAATAAACAAACGGTTTTTGAAAACTGTGTGTAATAAGATTCACTGAAATCTAGAAAGTTATGATATAGTTAAGTAAACAAATCATTAGTTATGGGCATTGTAGTAATAAAGTCATCTAACATTTCAATAAATTTTTCTTTTGGTTTTTTTGTTTCAGAATTTACAGTTGCAGGACTCGTGTACAACTTCACCATACTCTGTTGCTGCTGTAGTCTCGCAACATCCTGGGCGTAAACTTGCAGAACCTGATGATTGGAATCAAATCGCTGGTGGTTTTAAAAAGTTCGTCTACCCTATATCTATCATTTAAACATTTTTTATCAAATGAAATCTTATTAATGTTGACATGCATTTCAGTGGTTATTCAGCAATATTTTCGAATAGTGCGTATATATTAGACACTATTATGGAAATCTGATTAAAGTTGAAATTAACTCAGATTGAATTTCGATCAGTTCAAATCTATAAGTTCAGTTCCTGATAGTATTCTTTGATATAACACTTCATTATGAATTATAAACGATAGTGCCCACATTCTGTGATCGTCCATTCAGATAAAAAGATACGCGCTTCCTATACTTGAGTCCAATCTTTTGTAGAAGTGAGTAGACTAGAAATCGGCAGCTGAACAAAAATTCATACACATCATCAGTATACGGATATATATATATATATATATATATATATCAGATATTAAAGACGAGACCTTGGTAAAGTAAATAATAGTCTTCTCCCAATTGTGTATTGTCATTGCTATCCCTTATTAGACGTTTGGCCTTGAGATGGCATATGAACACAAGTGTATGGTATGTTTAATCTTGCCAAGCCTATTACCTCTCCCTCCTGAAAATTAGACCTTCCTCTGTGGTTCAAATGCTTGAGGATACTTCAGTTGGGCATGTTATTTTTTTCAGACTTACATTACAAAGAGAAATTTATGAACATAGAGGGTTCACTTAGTATACAGAACATGTGTCTTTGCGGCTCATTTTGAAATAACTTGGATTATCCCGTTGATAATATTTTGACTAAAATCTGATCAACTTTGGTTTGCATTTGGAGATCCTGTGCGGACTATCTCAATATAGCCATTATGACCCAATATAATATAGAATAGATGGAATATGGGTTCCATCGCTAGCCGCATTCCATTTATTCTATATGAACGTGTGTTTTTTCATTTTAACCTTCTATTACCTCAATTTGGGAAACAGGTGGGTAAATGTAGAATACATTGAATAGCTTTATTTTACTTTTATCTTCACATGTGATTGCCTTGGATTTAAATATGACTTCATTGATCGTAATTAGAATATTACGTATATTTGTTCAATGAACTGTGGGAATTTCACATCAATGAGCTTACTGACACTACAGACAAAAGTAAACATTTGTTTATTTCTCTCTATTTTCCAATATTTCTCCAATTAATGTCAGTACGTAATGGACACCGTCTCTCGGATGAATTAATCTCCATAATATTCTTACTCAGATTAATAGTAAGTAAGTAACTATTTAATACACAAGTATTGAAACTCTTCAGTGAAACGAAACAATTTGCCTACCATGTGGTATTATCTTTTCGAGAATCCAAAATCAGTTAAAAAGGTTTTGTTATCACTTTCGTAGTTGAAACTTCACATAAATTCAAATTATAAAATATATTTGTAAATTGATTTCAATCTGTGATTAAATAGGTTGGGCAACATGGCTGCTGATCAAGGTCGGAGATTTGTCAGTCAAGGTGTTGCTAGTCTTATGAAATTCGGCAGTAAGTACTTGATATTTTTCAAATTTTTTTCGCTTTGTCACTGGTTGCAATTAAAGTTAAATTATAAATAAGTACAACTAGTCACTGCCAACGTATATCTTGACAAAGATTTGCTTTAGCCCAAGTTTCCGTAAAACATTAGCTTGACAAGATGGTAATAGTACATTACATAACAAAAGCAATCGAAATGAAGTAGTGGCAATGATGATGAGAAAAACTAAACATAGGTAATGCATTTCAAAAAGACATTTTAGAAGACAGTTTATAACCACCAGTAGTCTTCATTGAAGTGAAATCGAATGAAGTATATCATAACACTCGTAATCCGATTTAAAATAACTTCAAAATATCAGCAATACTAAAATGTCGAAGGAAGACGGCCTACAATTCGAAATATACCAATTTTATTTAAACTGGTTTTGAGATTGTACACATTAATGACTGATTTAAAAATTAATGGTTAAATTTGTAATCAGTTAGTAGAATTCCTGAGTTCTACAAGTATTAAGTAGAAATAAAAATCCAAACAACTTAGCTGTTTTCACTGATTGACCTAGCTCTCATAGTTTTCAGCAGAGCGTGAGTGAATAAAGCGGATAATGCTTTCTTTGAGAACCGATATCCTAGGAAAATTAGATAAGTATTATGATATCTCAGGGTTATATGGTAAGCCAAATCTAAGCGTGTGCAAGAAGTCGTGAATATGTAGATCTCGATAATGTAATGAAAAAACGAAATTTATCAGAATTATGTGGTATATTTGCGCGATGCATTTCGAACAATCTGATCACACATATACTTGTTAAGAACATTTATATATAAAAATAAAAGGTCAACTAGACAGGTTGAGGTAAGCCGAAACAAAGAAAGAAAATAAACACAGTACACGAAAACAATGTGGTGGCCACTCTGGATAGTAAATCAGCATTACTTTACTTATTTTCTTTCTTTGTTACGGCTTAACTTAACCTATCTAGTTGACCTTTTAATTTTCATATGAAAATGTCTTAACAAGTATATGTGTGATCAGATTGTTTGAAATGTATTGCGCTAATATATCACATAATTTTGATAAACTTCGTCTTTCTCAATTCGTTATCGAAATTTATCAAAGGGACTAATTGTTTTAAATATATAGATCATTGGCTAATCGAAGTCGTTCCGTCTGCCTTTGAGCATACGAATACTGTATGTTCGTTTGATATTTGATTTCTCCCCCTATGTAGCTGTGCTGTTTAAACATTATCCATTGTGTCATGATAATAACCTTTAAAAGTTGGTTTTCAATACTGTCGAAGTTTAACGACTTCTCTACTTTGCAATTATCAAGAACCAAAACAAATATAAAAAAAACACGTTTTGTTATTTTAAGGGAAAATGTCTTCAGACACCTATCCTTATGTCTACCTGTCCATATATTGCGTTAATTTCCTATACATGTGGTTAGAATTTCCTTATCGCACACTTTCATCGTGATATTCGTTCCTTACATGATCAACTAAGTTTGTTTCCTCTAATTACTAGGTGATTTCAACTCGACATTCCGTTCATCTTCGCCGTCAAATTTTGTTTGGAAATTCTCAGATGCTTTTAAATCAGTTGTTTCAAATCCCATATCAATCAGTTCTCCTATTCTACCACTTGAAACCACATGCACCAAAAATGAATCAATTTCTCCCCAAATCAATGTTCCGAAAACCCAAATATGAAATAATAAAACTTTCCTCTATTAATCAATGTTGTTCACTGTTGTAGCTGTGATATTTATTGTGATATATTTTACTTCACAGTGAAGTCCTTCTTTTAAGCATATTTTATATCAAGCTTTATCAATCTCATGTTTTATTATTCCCCACTTTTATACATCGTTTTCTTTTTGTGGTCGTAAATGCATTTGTATGAATTCAATCTTGTTGTCTGATTTTTTACCTTCAGAGTTTTGTTGTACTGATGTTATATTTTGCGATAAACAATTATGTAATATTATAATACTAGTACTGGTTTCTCAATAACCATAGATTACATGAAACACGGGAATTTACAGCTAAGATGAAATTTTTACAAATGTTGCGCTGTTTATTGCGTTCAACTCGTTTGTCTATCTTTGACGAGTTATAACGAAAGCCTTAATACTGAAGCAGGATAACAAAATATTGCTGTATAAACAATAAAACTGGATTGTACACTGTGAAGATGGCTTGTCATATAGATGCTGCGTTATAGCAAACTCAAGGTTGTAGCGTGGAGTGGCTGACTATTTCGAACACTTGCCTGCCAGCTGAAGACGGCCTCTAATCGTTGTATTTGTATATTTGGTCCCGTTTCGATAGGAATACTCGTAATGGTTGTCAAATGTGGAACGTTTATTTGTTTACTATAGTTGAAAACGTGAGTCAATTGAAGCTAGTTTATTTGTTTATCACTCATTTTCGTGTCTGGTAGACTGTTTTGTTCTGAAAAAAACCTTTGATTGTTTAGTTGTTATTTTTGAAGTATTTTGTACATCTGATATGATTTAGTTTTGTTACATTGAAACCAACCAAATCAAGTACAAAGTTTGTATCTTATTAATATTTAGTGCGATGGACTCAAAAATACTATAGACACCAGGAGGAAGTAGTTCGCTCTAACTGAATACACTTGGTCTCTTTAGTCCTTTCTGTTCAGATCTCTAGAAATCTAATCCTAAAAAGTATAACATATAGCGTTTTTCCAAAATAAGCATTTCACAAAGGAGGAAACACAGACCATCTCTAACAAAATAGACGCCTGTTTGCCGAGGTTTATTTCAAACGTACTATTGATGACTTCCGACGTTTTGTTGTATTCAAATCTTGTTGGGCAGTAGTTAGTTGCTCCTGGAGAATTCAGTTCATTGTAGGTGACTGATATCGTTATTTAACAGTTTCCAGGAATATAACTAGAAATGATTTGAACTTCATTGAATGGTTCATTAACTTGAATTAGCTGGTGTCATTTGTTCCAATATTTTTAAGTATTTCATCCTGTTCGATTGAGTTATTTGCATTGATGGATCCTGTTACTTAATGCAATTTGTTCTGAACTAGTTCAATCCTGTGTGGCCAGGTAATTATATATTTCCAGCTGCACTGTCGTCAGTGACAACAAAGGTATCAAATACAGGGTTGACAATATTGGATGTCCGTACTATGTTTTAAAGCATGTAAATTGCAGCCATTGAAAGTTAAATCTCTCAGTTACTTAGACTTGCGTTTATATGAAGGCCTCGTTTCTACCCTGGTCTATGACTGGATACAAACAGTATCATGAAAGAAGTTGACTGACACATTCTTCTTTTATCCTCATCAAGGCTTCAATATTATCACCTTGACATTTCTGGCTGTTCATGCAGTTTGTGATTAGAGCTGAGTCTCAGCAGAATTATCTAATGAAATCATCGTTTTGCGAAATTATGATTGCTTCATAAACTTATTATAATCTGTTTGTTACCGGGGGAGCATTGTTCTGTACAAATGAACGGAACTTCAAATGGTTGTTGAGTAGACATTTATTCCATTACTTACAACTGTTGTAAGATTAAATTCACTTAGTATTGTTTGTTTGGATCTTACCATCGATGTGTTTAGGACTGCAACTGGTCAGTCTCTAATTGGCATATGTGCATACTGTGCGTATTGCCTCGATATACCTTAATTCACAAGCATGGTAAGCAGAGATGGATAGTAGCTAGCAGTGGAATCCAGAGTGAACATCAACTCTGAGATGCACGTACATCCAGCTGACGAGTCCCAAATAGGACGAAACGCGCGTCCTGGATTCCACTGCTAGCCACTATCCATCTCTGCTTACCATGTTGTAAGATTAGTTATGCGTTATTTTATTTTTAGATTTAATCTTGAACACACCCTTTGCAAAAGATGGTAACTGCTGAACAAGCGTATGAGAAATGTTGTATTAATATAAAGCAGTTTACTTCGATACCATTTTGTCTAAGTGCCTGAATGGAACCTGTTTTATTTGATGTTAGTAACATAATTAGCACGTTAGCTATGGGAGGGAAATAAGGGTATATCTCAATGGCCCATACCTTGTTTTTTTCAATATGACTCTGTTACAATAGCACTGAATTATCTATTCATGCATTCAAAATAACTAAATGGATCATCCGTTTAACTTAATGCAACATTTTATATCGTAGTACACTTTTCAAAGTCCGCTAGACAGTCTTTCTTATGATGTTCATACCACGCCAAGTATAAGTTTGTCTCTAGCAAATAGTTGTCGTTTCATTTTTTGACCAATATGGTCTGCTGCCTAAGAGTTCATTTGTGTTCTGTTCAGTAAATGCGGAGTTCAAGAGCATTCAATGAAAAAAGGCTTTTTTTCGCAAAACCTCCACTTATATGTAAACTATTTTGGTTGCTAATCACTTAAAAATAAAAAAAACGCAACTCACCGGTTCTCAGACCTAAGTAGCTAATGTAATTTATATACGCTTCATAAGCTGTCAACTTTATAACAAAGATTGTATGCTACTTAACAAGGATGACGGTTTTCAAAGTTTGAAGGCGAAACAAATAAAGTTGACGAGTTAAGGTAACATGGTGGTTGGAGGTGGTCAACCGGAAACCCTGGACCCGGGTTTCGTGCTACTTGGCACTCGTCAGCAAGGTGTACCTGCAATCTTGACGGAACTGATGCTCCCTGGCGGATTCAATCCCGTGTCACTCAGTTTCACAGTCGGAGACGTTACCACTGAGCTCTTCAGGCCACATTGCAACTTGATCGATAGCATTCGATCAGCACTAAGGCCTTGACACGCATGAGATTGATCACCACCCAGTGATCAATCAAGAGTGAAAGTTGACGAGTTATACAGAATGACTATGTCTGCAAGGCTCAGCCATGCCATCCGATTGAACTGAATAAACCCACAATTCTTGGTCTTCTCTTCGTATTAAATGTTGAATATCCATTTTCTCAGTTATTTCACGTTCATCTTTGAGGATTTTGTGGTTATGACCAATACAACTAAAAACTCATCGAGATCATCAACCCAGCCTTTACCCTTTACATTGTGTTGAAGAATGCCTTTTTGTCTTACATTTTGTTCACCTATTACCTGGCATGTTTATGGAAGAGTGATAACTCAAACCTCTCTCATTATCAGAAATTGTATCTCGTTAACATCTGCTTTACATGGAACTCCAGTTCTCTCTTCTGTTTATAGTGTACAGACAGGCACGATCCCATTCCAAAATCAAACCGCACAATCAAAGAGCGAACAGTCAATATGGCAGCCACCAGAATAATAACAATTAAAACAAATTAAATACAGTTCAACAAGAAAAATGGAAACTTAATGAAAGCGATATGAAAACCGAGAAAATTTAACGTTACAGTCTCAATTGGCATAAAAATTTAACAATATATACAATTAAAGAAACTGATGTGATCCGCAAAACTAGCAGCCTGAACAAATTACGGAAGCTATTTTCTGGGACGTTAATTCATTTCGCCGGCCCATTTCAAGGTACATATTTTCTCATTTGTGTCGATGCCTACTCAAAGTGGCCAGAGATTCTACCCATGAAGCAAATCACGTCGCAAGAGACTATTATCCAGTTACGGCAGTTATTCTCTCGTTTCGGAGTCCCAGATATTCTCGTGTCAGATAATGGCACTCAGTTTACTTCTTCCATTTTCTCCGACTTCTGCAACAGGTTTGGGTCAAACATGTTCGTTCACCTCCATACCATCCACAATCAAATGGTCAAGCAGAAAGGTTTGTGGATACCTTCAAAAGAGCGCTACTGAAGGCAAGGGGGGAAGGCAAGATAAAGGAAATTCTTGATGATTTTCTGTTAGTCTACAGAACGACTCCAAATACATCAGCGCCGAATAAATTATCTCCAGCAGAAATTATGTTTGGTAGAAAAGTTAAAACTGCTCTCGATGCCATAAAACCAAAGCAAAATGGTGTAGGAAGAAGAAACCAGAAGATGGAATCTCAATTTAATCGTCACCATGGGGCGAAAAGTAGAATCTTCCGAGATAATCAAAAAGTATATGTCCGTGATTTCCGATACTCACCTCCACAATGGACCAGTGGACGCATACTTGGGAGACGAGGGAATGTAATGTATGTGGTAGAGGTTGAAGGCCAAAAGTGGATACGTCACGCTAACCACATACTGGAGAGTTCTGGTACTCCTCAGAAGACCGAGAAAATGTGCTCATTGTGGGAAGTCTTCCTGGACAGTTTCGACATAGGAAGTCCAGCAACTAAGAAAACTGTACAACTGGAACAACATCCTATTAGGAGATCACAACGGAAACGCAGAAGGCCTGATATACTGCAGGTGGACCCAAAGAGAAGAGCATATACTTCTGAGGGGAGATATCAGTGATGATATCTTAGCTACTGTTTGTAATTAGTGTCTAACCGTTTTCTTTTTTTTTGTTTATTCCAGTTAACCCAATCGGTCACAACCACAACGCAATCCAGTTTTCCTTTATGCACTCAGTCAATGGCAGTGATGACAGCTTTTTTTGGCAAGGGGGAAGATGATGTAATCCGCAAAACTAGAAGCCTGAACAAATTACGGAAGCTATTTTCGGGGACGTTAATTCATTTAATTCAAAGCTTGTAAAACTGTAACATTTACTTTTGCCCCTAGCCTATTCTACAGATCATAAGCTTTCGTTTGATGTATAATTCATTGCCATAGCATTTTCTGCCCTAAAGCTATTGTCATTTAGACGTAATCTTTTGTACCCTATTTTCTACTATAACTCCCCAGTTTTGGACATGATTGTATTTTTCTTATTATTGTACGTTGTGGTCCGCTTAGTCATCTATTTATTCATGTAACTTTTCACCCTAATGGAAATTGGGAATTCGAGTGCTAGATCGGGTTGGAATAAAGTGATTAGTGTTCCAGCTGTCTTGTCTTCTCTCTCTCTCTCTCTCGTGCTTGCCAGCCAATCAGGGGTAGAATAGTTTTCGTCTCTCTACTCCTATTTCGAACTCACGCATATTGGCCTCAAGGTTAAGCCAGTCAGTCTATCGTGTCAAGGTCTAAATCTACATTATACTCGGCACTAAGTGGGTAGACGGATTCAAGGACGCAACAGAAACCATAGAAAAGAAATTGCAAATATACACATGGAGGGATTTTCACCTTCAGAATGGGTCTGACAGTAGTCATTTTTTAAGTCACATGTAGGTTTTGGCGGTAAATAAATCCCCGAAATCAATGGCACTGTAAGTGTTCGACATTGAATAATGACCATAATAGTTTTAATAGACCTACCTAGATGAAGCATGCATCCGCACCAGATCATGAGTTAGAATGCTGTGCTCAACTTCTCATGCGATCACTAGCAAGTTTAGATCAATCACTCCGCGATATATTGATAATCCGTAAAATATATCTTCGAAACTCCTAGCTTCTGGCTTTTGATCTCAATGGGTGGGCACAATTCAATTCTAGGTGTTGCTGGTAAAGTTTTGTCACACTACAATACCTGTGGCAAAAAAGTTGTTGATGGAGTAGAATTCAAGACTTACGAATGATCTTAATTCATATAGATTGTTTTTCTATCATCTCATAGACGTTTGGGACTGCAATTGCTCAATTTCATTTGGCATATCTACATCCCGCGAAGATGACTTCAATTCCACTTGTAGACAAAATCCGTCTCTGCTTGAAATATTGTTTATCAGTTCCATCATGTCAGTTCATACTACAGAGCTCTAAAATCATAAAAAACTCATTAAAATATTCATTGTGCTCTTAGAAGCGGCAATATCGTAGTATTTGACTGTTATGCTTCTATGTTCAAACAACTTATTCGTTTCAGAAAACATTTTAATACTCTAAGGTAGAACCCAGAAGGCGTAGCCGTTCACTTAATCTCACATTAAGTCAAGGGCGAATCATGTGATGATCAAACAACCAGACTCGAACGTACTTACTTACTTACGCCTGTTACCCCTCATGGACGTGCATATGCCGCACACCAACACTCACCATCCAACCCTGTCCTGGGCAATCCTTGCCAGTTCTTTCCAGTTAACATTCATCGATTTCATATCTGCTTCTATTTCCGGGTGTATTGTGTTCTTTGGCCTTCCTCTATTTCTCTTCCCTCCCAGATTAAAAGTTAGAGCTTGTCTCGTGATGCAGTTTGGTGATTTCCTCAATGCATGGACTATCTACTTCCAATGTCCTTTCATAATTTCCTGGTTTGTCCTCTTCTATAAAACACTGTTGCTGATACTATCCAGCCAGTGAATGTTGAGTATTTTGCGTAAACAACTGCTTGTAAATACTTTTACCTTTTTGAAGATGGATGTATTAGTTCTCCCCGTTTCAGCTCCGTACAGTTGAACAGACTGTGTTGACGAACGTATTGATGACACTCACACTGAAGTTAGTTGACAGTTGTTTTGAGTTCCATATGTTCTTCAAGTGTAGAAATACTGCCCTTGTTTTGCCAATCCTCGCCTTTAAATCTGCATCAGATCCTCCTTGTCCATCAATGATGCTGACCAGGTACGTGAATGTTTCCATTTCTTCCAGAACTTCTCCATCAAGTGTGACTGGGTTGGTTGGTGTTCTCCCTGTCGTATTTGGGAATCTCGCTTTCTCCTTTGTGTATGTTGAGACCTATGGTTGCAGAGGCTGCCATCTGTGGCTCTTCTAGAGTTACTACCGGTCTTAATCTCCTGTAGAGGAGGAGAGTTATGCATGGGGCCAGCGACACTGTCCCGTAGAAAACTAGCTCTCTAAAAATAAACGCTAACTAGAAAAATAGTTCACGCTAGAATAATATGTGTGTTTAGGTTCCTGCTACCAGAGAACACTTAGCTGACACAAAATAACCTAAAACATCCATAACTTATTTGGATACAATCAGGAATGAATTGTGGAGTCTATAAGAGAGTTATGACATAGATTTAAAATCTTATGGTTGACATCATTACACGTGATGAAGCTCGATTCGTAATTTACTGGAGGTATATGTTAGTAGATTAAGTAAAAGAACATTTAAGGGTTAGTTTTGATACAAAACAAAGTTCTATCTGTATACCTAATGTCCTCTATGTTAGAACAATCACAATTCCTTGAGAATTCTTTCATCTAAAATCTAACTTATATACGTTAAACTTGTACAGGATGTCGTAATAACCAGTTTTGCTTACACGTGCTGAATAAAAAGTTATTGCAGATAAATCATCTGCGGATACTTTGTATGAAACTGTTTCATTATCTACTCCACTTTGAAGGTCACTATTGCGAAGATTTAACCCGCACTGTTCAAACAGTTTAAAATGTAGATGAGAATGAGTTTCCGTGAAAAAGCAAGTTTTAATAGCGCTCAGGCGTTTTTATGTAGGTAAGAAAATGAAATTCTTGTTGAAAACGTTTTAAGATCGAAATCCTTATATGATGGGACAAAGTCAACAATGCGCTTATCAAATATTACATCAAAGTTACGAACGGTATCTGCAACATTGGCAAACACAAATCCATTTAGTTCAAAGTCACAAGGCAACAGTATAACTGAAGAGAACACTGATGATGGTAAGAGTTTCGGTTTTTTTAATAAATATGTTTATTGTGGAACGGACGTTGCAACATATTTGCACATATATGCATATTATTCTACGATATTTTTGATGAGCCCTGAACTATTTCTTGTCCAACCTGTTGCACTTTTTTCCAATGTTCCGTATTTCGTTCATGTATTCTTTACAAAGTTTCGCCATAGACGTCCTTATAAGTATAGGTAAAAACATAAATATGACCAAAATTTATGTTCATCAATTCACATTCAAGCGATATCATGTGAAGCTGTTATAATTATGTATGAAGGGATGACATTGTGGTTGCAATATTCAGCTCTCCTCAATTAAGTCTCAATTCCTAATCATACTTTATCTGGTTCAAATTGTTTGGACGGGTAGTAACATAACTAGTTCGCGAACAAGCAGTATACCACGAAGTATATGAAGCAATTCATAGGGAATGGGATGCATTGACTGCTTACAGTACTTATTTGTGCGTTAAATAAAGTGTTCAATAATTATCATTATACGGTTTTGTGGAGAACAAAGTGTTTTCATAGATAATAAATCACGAACTGAATTTCGTTTGACAACCATTTAACATTGTGCAGTAACAAAATTCTTCTTTTGAAATTTTACTGATGTTTTTTAAAATAATGTTAAGGAATTGGAACTCTTTTACAACTAAATGTGATGTATAATCCGCTGGATAAGACCGGGAATAATATGTGACAGTGTAAAAGCAATATCATGCAAGTGAACTAGATATCAAAAAGTTTTATTGTATCCTTTACATGTCAGCCACTAGAATGGAGACAAGAATATTACATGACATTTGAGGGATCCATTTATAGATATCCGTATATGTAACGAGTTTTCTTACGAAATAATGCAGAGAACAATTGAACTGATTTCAAACATGAAATAGCCTAGAGAATTATATAACACATAACAAGTCGTAATAACGCAAAACTTCCATGGCGAAAATAAGAACAACGCATATAAGCAAACAATAATGAGTCAGTGCTCACAATGAAATACATTGCATTACTACACATATTAAGTAAAAAGTACAAATTTATAGTAAGAAGACGAATATACTAGAATTGATTAAATTAATAAAACTATAACAGTTCTAGCCAATAGCTCAGCACGGGAAGTAAGTTGAACTTCGATAAAAAGACTTTAATCTAATAATTAAAAAAAAGCATTCCCAAGTAACGCATGTATTTCAACATAGAGCAGTATATTGCATTTATTCAACACTTTCCAAATCGAGATGGGAGATGTCCGAACATTTGTTGGCTAAACTGACTGGAAGGACGCTCAATATAGCTCTCCACACTGTGATAAATTAAACATAAACTGCCTTGAATTTCATAAAATTTTCATATTATTATTCATTTATATAATAATATCGATAGAGCATTATACTTCTATTTACAACTCTCCTGAAAGCCAATATATTATGCAATAGTATCTCTTTGGGTTGATTACTTTGGACGACTGTTAACGTCAGACATAGTCATTAGTATGGTAGTGAGAATTTCATCACGGGTATAAATTGCTACAAAAATTTTCCCTCTATGGAAATAATATGAAATGTTGATTTAACCAACTACTGTTTTGTGTGGTCTACCATAAGAAGACGCTTGAAGAGATTTCCAAACCAATAGTCTTAAATAATTGAATAAATTTGAAAGAAACTACTTCCAAAATGAAGCTAAACAGTGAAGAGGTTTAAAGAGCGAAAACCATTATTCGTACGAAAAATCGCACTTTATCTAACTGATACACCATCCTTGGAATGTACAATCACAACTTCACTTTCATGTAGGTATTTAACTTAAAATACTATTCAACTAAAATATAATGAAGGATAATCCCCACTCAGTACATCAAATGCATTCTTGCATCGTATCCTAAGTTCAAATAATCCCATATTCTAACTAAACGCTTTTAGGCAAAACATAGAACAGTGAATTACTTCATATTCACAATTGAGTAAACCAAACATGTCGATTCGCTTCACAAATACACATGATATGGTTTGAACGATTGCGTTGTATACCTCTATCAGAAATACCCAAACATTGATTTCCTTATGGTATCGAACAACTTCAAAAATTCAATTATCTAATCACAACAGCATAATCAATTACTTGACAAATGAAATTTCATACTTCTGACTGATTACCAATTCATTATGTTGGAAATCAATACTGACCGATATATGATTATTAGAACACTGACATGTTCTCAAGTTTAATTAGCAATAATTTGTTGCAGTAATTATACGTACAACGGAAAGTCTTACTCGCAATAATTTTAATAATTTTGTACTTAAAGGACAATTTATCTCTCAAAATCCATTATGGATAATTTGTTTTACAATACATATTCTCATAAATAATCAGGCAACAACCTTGAACTGAACTTCCCATAATTTTAAGAAACAGTGAATAGGGTTGTGAGCTTCGTGTTGGTGGTTAAGGTCATGGTCAATAATTTCCAATTCGATGATAAGGATGGGATTAACTGATTAATGTGTAGAGTTTCTGATCGGATCTATTTTTCCATATTTGCTTAGCATGCTTGTGAATTTAGGCTATATCGAGGCAATACGCACAGTATGCACATATGCCAATCAGACACTGACCAGTTGCAGTCTTAAAAACATCAATGGGAAGATCCAAACAAACAATACTAAGTAAATATATTTATTTTTTATTTACAAACTATCACTAAACAGCGAATGACGAATAAATCTCTTGTTTCCATTAGCGAATTCATTGACTGTTGATACTCAATCCTCAAAATACACATAGTTGGGTTAGGACGAGCAGCATGATGAGTAGTTGAGTTGCAGACTTTAGAGCGAGTATCTGTCACGAGCCATTATGTATGAACTACACAGAACACAGAATTACAATGCAGATCAGGACTATGATTGTTGGGAATTCAGAGCAGTCATCTTCTCCATTTCTTCGTCAAACAAGTGACCTCATATTCTTTTACATACCTGGTCGAGATCAAGATAGTTTACACGGAAAGAAACTGAATTTCAATGTCACTCAACTTCTTCAATATCTCACGTATGTCTTCAGTTGGAACAAGTGACAGTAGTTGATTCCAAGGATCATATTTTCGCGACATTCTTCACTGGTTATTTTGTACCATTCATTTCGCAATTGACATGTCACTTGTCCAAATCACTTTTTGAGATGTTTAACTTGACATGGAGTTCGACGATATTTTACAGTTTCTAGTGGTAGCCTTCTATTGTATAAATTCTCCATAACAAGTATATTTTTAAGCATATAGGGTTGAACGAGTAATAATAATAGAAATCACATATTCCAAATGAATTTTCGCTATTGTCGATACCGCCAACATTTTATCAAGTATTGAGCAATATTTCTAGTCTATATGTCGGAAGATTTATACTTAATCGTAGTCAAATAGAGAATGTAAGTCTAAAGTCATTAAGTGACAGTAATCAGTTGACTTTTCAACTGACTTCATTCTTAAACAGACTTACCCACTACTTATTATCGCATTTTTAATAGTTTCCTTGAAATCAAGACAAACGTATTTATGTCATGTATAAATGCCGGTGTGAAGGCCATTTACCTTGTTTGATAGTGAGTTATTTTGAAGACTGGAAGGTTGAACAGCTACTTCTGCAATATGTAGTCGGTTGATTCTGTGACCACTGCTCGTGAAATCTAAGAGTTCAGTATTAAAATATTTTCTCAACTCCATATCAAATTTTCGTAACCGCATAGTGTTTCGTGGTTTTAGTACTCAGTCGATCCAGCAGAGTACAAGAGTGAGCTAGTATGCAAAGTTTAAAATTCATGTGGATGATTTTGTTGGAGTCTGGTTTTCTGAACTGGCTGGTTTAATAATGAATTTTTTTATCTCTAATTCTTCTGAACAGCATCATCAGCACAAACTCCAGATGGAAGTGAGGCGTTCGAATTTCTCCACACATGGCTAACAGCTTGTTTTGTCCTTCGTGAGCTTGACCGATCATTGTCGACTTCTAGTCTGTCATTGTCTGCATATTTATTTCTGTTGTCTCTCCCATTGACTTGATTTATGATTCTGTTTGGGAACCATCCAGATTTAAGAACGAGACTGAACCAAAAACGTTCTCAAGTGAGTTAGGTGGCCTAACTATACTTACTGGACTAATCTGGAGGGAATTTTAACTGAAGAGATTGTGGTTAACTAACGGAGTGTATGGATGTTTCCTAGTGATTGAACGGAAGACATCCATGATACTAACATTGATTGCCTGGAATTTCGATATGATATTTGTTTTTCCAACAGGACGATTATTACATGATTCGATAGATGTACTTCTCCTTAAATAAAATGATTGTGGATGAAGTAAATGCTATCGTACAACTTGTAGATCTTTGAATATTGTATTACACTGTTTCTCATTATTTTTTTCTTGAACTTCTGAGAAATGTTTTGCCGTGTTGCGGAATGTATTGATGGCAATTATTTGATATTATATTATATTGTATTACGTTGATGTATCATATTGTTGTTATTATGTTATCATATATTATTATATTATTATACTATTATATATATATTTATATATAGAGACATTCAGACATTTTATAAGGGTAAATGAAAGTTGACAGAATACTGTATGCTGAGGTTACTATTTCGTATGAAATATATGTAACATTGGATTAAGGGATTATTATTCTTACTGTCTTTCTTTGGAACTAAAGTTTACTATGTCCTATCGCATAGTATTTCTAAAGGAAATATTATGTAGAATGGACATCATCATCATTTCTACCTGCAATTCGTTGATGACTTTTTGAAAGATTTCATGTCGTGCTTTCTATTTATCAACAATCACCATCGATATGTACAACTTGTACCTTGTTTGAATAGTGAACAATAATTGTAAACTTTTTAAAAAAAAATTCAATTATATCCAGTAAAAGAACCTAATAAATGAGTCTTTAATCTCAAACAGGAAAT